TGATAGAATGACTATCTCAGAATTGAGATACAAGGTAAAAGCTAACTAAAACAAACATTTATTTTTAGCATCTATTAGAAAAGTATCTCATTTAGAACAAAGTGAAAAATATTCTTTCCTTTAAAAACACATCACCAGTGAACATTTGGATTACTAAAATTCATTTAAATCTGAATAGATCTTAAGTGTTTGGTACTTGTAAGTTACATGTAAGAAGTTTCTGAATGGTCTGTTTTGGAAAGAGAAAACAGAAAGAATTAAATGACAAGTACAGAGTGGCTGGGAAGACAGTTTACCAGTTTCAAACATACTTACAAAAGACCCTGATTTGATTACTAAAACATACACAGCAGTTGACAATGGTCTTTAACTCAATTTTCAGGGGATATTGTTTCCCATTATGGCCTCCAAAGGTACTACATCCATGTGTTTCACATACACACATGCCCACAAAAAGACTCATGAAGATGAAATAAAAATAGATGGAATAAACTATCCTGAATGAGGTAAAAGAAAAAGTCATGGTATGGCAAGAATGGTACCTGCTCACTCATATATGGATATCAGCCATAGACCAAAGGACTGCCAGCCTATAATCCACACTACCAGAGAAACTAGTAAACAATGAGGACCCTAAGAGAGAAATACATAGTCCTGCAAAAAAGTGGAAAGGGACAAGAACTCCTGAGTAAATTGGGAGGACAGCATGGGGGAGGAGAGGGAAGGAAGGTAGGAAAAAGAGAAGAGTAGAGAAAGGGGTCGGAGAACAACAGGTATGAAGGAATAGAGGAGAGCAAGGAAAGAGATACCATAATATGGGAAACCAGTATAGGTTTAAAGAGAAATATGACACTAGGGAAATGTTCAGAGATTCATAAAGAAGACACCAACTAAGAATCTAGGCAGTAGTGGATAGGCTGCCTTTGATGCCCTTCACCTATAGTGAGATTGATGACTACCTTCAATGCAATCCTAAAACCATTATCCATTAGGTGATGGAAGCAGAACCAAAAACCCACAGCTAATCACTGAGCCATACTGCTGGAATCTAGTTTTAGAGAGGAAGGAGGGATGAACAAGGGTGTCAACACTGTTCTGGAAAAACCTACAGAACAACTGATTTGACCTATTGAGAGCACAGGGTTATCAGTCATAAAACAGGGGAACCAGCATTGGACAAAACCAAGCCCTCTGAGTGTTTGTGACAGTTAGGGAACATGGGCAGTCTATGGAACATCTAACAGTGGCACCAGTATTTATCCCTAGTGCACAAATGGACTTTGAGAGCCCATTCCCCATGGATGGATAGTATTTCAGCCCAGATACACAGAGCAGTGCCTAGGCTTTCCCCTGAATGATGTCACAGATTTTGATAATCGCCCATGGAAGGTCTCACTATCTGTGGGGAGTGGGTGGGGGGGTGGGTTGACAAAGTTCAATGGGAGACATGGGAAGGTGGAAGGGAGAGGGAACAGGGGATTAATATGTAAAATAAGATTGTTTCTAAATAAAAAAAATTAAAAGAAGAAGAAATAAATAGCTATAAGGTGCATATAATTTACTGGCAGAGAAGTGTTTAATACTTTGCATATATTTAAATAGCTGTGAACTAATGTATTATTATTTTTATGTAATGTTGATTCATTTTTTATTATGATATTCTAATTAAACAATTATATCACTTTCTGTTTCACTGCCATTCCTTGAACCACCACCATGTCCCTTCCATCTCTTACTCTGATACACTCCCTATAAAAATGATGACCCTTTTGATTTTTCTTACAAACTTGCCACCTATAGATTATTTTTTTCTTCATTAAGTTTTTCTTTCTTTTCTTTTTTTTTTTTTTGAGACAATCACTTATTTATTGGACAGGGCAAGGTCATTTAAAGAGAGGAAACATATTCAAAAATGGGTTTATTGGTGTTACAGGCATCAAGGCTCACGAACAACAGTATTCAATACATCATGGAAACAGGTTGCATACAGCCAGGAAGATGCTGTCATGTCACTCACAAGTATGCCACAAGTGTTTAGGCAACAATCATTAGAGAGTTACTGTGCATACTTGTCACCAATTCACAATCTTTATTCCCGCAGCTGAGCTATTAGCCCATAGGATTTGGCTACTTCCCTGGTTATGAAGAGTGTTTCTGCATTCTGGAGAACTTTGATTGCATATATCTCCTACTTTTTAATGTCACTGAAATTAAGTATAGGCTTACCCAGCACTAGCTCACATTGCTGTTTTTAAACTACCCTAGGCAGTAATGGACTATCACACAGTACTGGAAATAAAATTCTGTACTGAACGCACTTAGCACTGTTACAATGCACCCAAATCTTATTTAGTTTTATAGTACCGTATTTCAAGAAGATAGCAGAAATTCAATGAAGTCAATTAAAAAAGTGGGCTGTTTACCTGGTCTGAGGTATACAAGCTGTCCATAAAGATAGACACATTTAAAATTTACTATGTCAATTATTTGCCAAAAATTTAGCATTATTTTTAGCAGGATTTTCTTGGCTGGGTAGACAAGAATATATTTTTAATACCCATTGTACAAACTAAATAAATATTAGAAGCAGTAGTATAGAATGGATGTTTGGCTAGAAGGAAAACTAGTTTATGTAAGATTAACCGAAGAGTCTGTCAGGTATTGGCTTTCCCTCTTTAAATCCATTAATTTATCAACTACTGTTTTTTTTCTGTGATACTAAAGATGAACCTGTTAGACAAGTTCTCAATCACCAGCCCCTCAACCACCTCCTCACACTGTATTGAGTTCTGGGTTCTCAAGATGAGTGTTCACTCCACATAGGAAGCCATATTTAGGAAACTGTTTGCAAAGACTAACTATTGCATTAATTCATTTTCAGTGAGTGATCAGATTATACAAATATAGACTATTGGTTCTCCAGGACCTAGGTGAGACACACTGGGAGGAAATCAGAGATGACTACTATAGAGTATAGGGCTTCTTTGGGGGTAGTAAAATGGCCTAGATTTATCATGTAGTTGAACAATTTTGTGAGTATATTAAATGTTACTTAATTGTACCCTTTCAAATTGGTATAATTTCTTTAAAGATAAGGTCTCAGTGTGTATCTCAATCTGGCTTTGAATTTGTGTGACAACATTCCTGCCTTGGCCTCCTGAGGGTTAGGATTACAGGTGTGAGCCGCATCAGGCAGCTCTACCCTTTAAAAGAATGAAATTACAAAGCGTGTAGATGAATTCTCAGTAGCATTGTTATGAAAACACATTAAGAAGGGAAGACAATCCCCCAAGAGAAGAAAACAAGTAATAGTCAAGAAGAATGGTAGAAAGCCTGGTCTACAGCATGCTTCTTGCATGCTGTTTTGATTTCACTATCATCATGTTAGTTCTCGGATTCACTTTTATTGGGGGGGGTGGGTTTCGGGGTTAAGACAGTAATTCACTAAGATAGCCCAGATTTGCCCCAAACTTGTGATCTGCTTCAGCCTCCTAAGTGCTAGGATTACATGCACATGCCACCACACCTGGCTTGACTTCACATTTTTAGACTGTTTCTAAATTATTGTAGGCAATCAGTAGATTTCTGAGTAGAAATTTCTGAATAGAGTCAGTGCTACATAGACTTAGCCAAACAAGAGTCACAATCTCATGCCAAGGGGCTGGGATGTAGCTCAGTTTCTAGAGTGCTTGCTTAGCATGCATAAGGCTCTGGGTTCAATTCCCAGGAAGCAGAAAACCAGGTACAGTGGCAGCACCTATAATCTCAGCACTTAGGAGGTGGAGGCATGAAGACCATCCTTGGCTACATAGTGAGGTTGAGGCTAGCTCAGGGTTATGTGAAATCTTCTTTACAGACAAAAAACAAAAACAACAAGAGCAAATCGATGACAATAATCTTGTCCTTTGAGGCTATGCCTCACTGGGTAGAAAGGCTGAGGTTCATTGCTAATGAAAAAATATGCCAGCAAGTGTAGGAGTATCTGGATATCAAGACCCTTCTTGAAACAAACAACAACAACAACAACAACACACACACACACACACACACAAACAAATGAACAAACGAAATCCGCAGTTATTCCCTTTACACCTATATAATTTAACAAAATTCATATGTTGATGCTTGTAGAAAGCAATAAGCTCTACAAAGTAATGTTGAACTTATTAGTTTCCTAGCTGAAAAAGCTATTCCAATTTTCCTAAGAGCTAAGATTACTGTTTCTGAAAAACATTCAATGCTATGTCCTTATGCTCACCTTTAGCACTGTAGTGAAGATGAAAAATGCCAAGCCAGCTCTCAATCAGAAGCTACAAAGCAACTTCTTAAATGACCTTAACTCTCTGAGAGAACTAAAATAGACTAGCTCCAAATATTTAGAACATATTGGCCCAATTTCTTTGCATATGCCTTTAGATTACATGAGACATTTCCTTTATTTTCACTAATTTGCTAATTTAGTATGAAATAAATAAGCCAAAAGACTTTGAATGAACAAAACTGGTTAATGGCAATCAGTTTTCCTCATACTATTCTACATAGGCAAGATAATGAAGTCAGAAATTATCTTTTTGGTCTACTTTCAACTAGTCTTTCATTATATAATCAGTGAAAGTTTAACAACAAAAAACATGAGTAGTTTTACACACAGCAAGATGAAGTTGTTAAATATATATGTTATGACAGAATTTCTCTGACACAAAACTTGCTCACTGCACACAGAATCTCATAGTGATCAAACAAGTCAGCTGATATTAGAAGGTATCTGGGAATGAGGTCTGGAGAAAAAAACATTCATAAATTGGCAAGTATCCATAAAAGCAGAGTCACTTTTTAGGGGACCTAAGAAAAACTGCAAAATCATCATTTTGGTATTCTTAAAGAAGTTGGTCTAATAAGAACTAAAGACCATTTGACTCTTGTGCTGCAAAACGCAGGTGTTAAATGGTTTTTTCAGGATTCCTAAAACCTGTAGTGCAAAAGAAATCTACAAAAATAAATAATCACAAAAATCCCAACATTTTTCTGGGAAATGTGCTCGAAACAGTGACTTTTACAAAACATGGGAATTGTATTAAATGAACAAAAAACCGCTATACGAAACCTCAAAGACTCATTTCACAGATAACTTATACACCATTTGATTTCAACAATGTACAAACAAGGGCCACAGATTATTTTTATTAGCTCTGAAATAGCAATATAAATACTGATGTTGGGGGAAGTTTTACACCCCAAACTCCAATACTCAATTCTGTGTCTGTCCTGTTATTTAATTTGTAAAAAGCTTAATGGTGCAGTGAGTCAAACTTTCTTAACTTCAATGATGTGTTAGAGGACAATGCATCGAGGTTTGATGAATTTGTTGCATCCAAAGGCCGGAATAGCACTCGGCCACGATGATTAAACACATAAAAAGATGGATGATTCCTTAAAGTATCACATGTCTTATTCTTTAATTCTGAAGTGGCATCCATGTCTTTGAACTCCCCTGCGATATGAACTATGCCATAACAGGTAACTGCAAAGGCCAGAAGTGTCTGAAGAACTATATCTATCGGTAGTGATTCATCTTCCTTTTCTGTTAGTCGCATATAAGAACGATGCTGAGCAGCTGAAAAGGCAGCGTGGGCTAGGGCAAAGAGGCCGACGCCGACAAGCCCTTTCCACAGCGATGGCGCCATGATTCGCAAGGAGCGGCAGTTCAACAAAAGGAGGCGAAGGGCGGTTGAGCTATTCGTTCTTTCGCCGGCGGGCCTCATTAAGTTTTTCTTAAATATCTCTATGATTCCACTCATAAAAAATTCTAGAAGAGATTGGACAGTAACAATGATTATGATTATATATTAGGAAGGTTGCACATAGTATTTGAGAAAAATTTATAGGTAAAATTTCCACTAAGTATATCAGTAGATATATGGTTAATAACTGGATTAGAAATTTATAATATTTATATTAAAGAGACCACCATTATGACATACAAAGGAGAAGTAGAGACTTTTGAATTTCCATAATAATCCCAGAAATTTATCTTCTGAAAAAGCATCTAGCCATCTAATTACCTCCAAATATATTATTGGAATATGTGCCAGTTATTAAGGTCAATAATATCGAGGACATCCAAGCTCTTTAAGTCTTTACAGCTGAGAATATCCAGATGAAAATTCATACAGTTAGCATAAAAAGATATAGGAAATAGATACTGGAGAAATAAGCAATTGATGAATATTGTGTAATATTATTCCAGGGAATACATGAATAAATGTTTTTTTTTTTCACTCCAGATAGTGGACCAATGATATACAAGGTAAGAATTCTACCAAAGACCAACTTGGTGGACAGATTGAGTTTTATTAGGGATTCTTATTACTTACAGGAAGAGAAATAACTATAAGACAACTTAATCACCAAAACAATAACATGAAGCATGGGGAAAGAGCTCCCAAAGCTGAACAACCTTCAGACATATCAACAAGGAGCAGAATGTCCCTTCCAGGGAGCTCATGGACTCCAGACTGACAGATATGGAATTTACATAAGATTTAACTAGGCCCACTGAATGATGGTGTCAATTGTGAGATTTGGGCAATCATTGTTGCTCTTGCTGCAGGACTAGTATTTATGCCTAGTGCATATACTGGCCTTTAGGAGCCCCTTCCTTATGGAGGGGTACTCTTTTATCTCAGATACAATGGGAGGGCCTTGGTGTGACAATCTTTGATGATCCTCCATGGGAGACTTCACCTTCTCTGAGGACTGGATGATGAATGGGATGGGGAGATGTTGGGTTGGGGAATAAAAGTGCAAGAGGCAGAGGGGATTTGGATTGGTATATAAAAAAAGATTGTTTTAATTTAAATAAAAATAATTTAAAAGGAAAAATCAGGGGCCTAGAATAGTTGCTAATAGATACTGGCTTCTAGACAAGATAGGCATTTTGGACCCATGAAATCTTAATGTGGTTTCTTGAAGACATACACAATGAGTATACCACTGGACATGTCAGTGTGATGAGTGAGAACTTCACAAAGGCTTACTCCTAGGTACAGGTTTATATGCAATAAATGTCTGCTGAAGCAGAGAGACTTGGTTTTGTCAAGGGACAAGCTTTCTTTTAGGTTTTCAAAGCCAAACTGGTCAGGCCTAATTATATACACCGATTTGCAAAATGAAAGGGTCACACACACACACACACACACACACACACACACACACACAAGCTCAGGTGCAGGAACACATGAGTATATATTATGTTTGTATAATTCATGTGGTACACATACACACAAATTCACACATGAGAATGTGTTATGTATTATATATAGTTACAATTACATACAATACAAATACATATAATTGTCACAAGAATAGACATAGGAGAAGAGATTATTAATTAAAGAAAAGGGTCAGGGAACTTATGAATAGTTGTTGGAGAAGTAAGGGGAGAATGGTGAAATAAAGAGTATTCATTTTTTAAATTCTTCAAAAAATTAAAAGGAAATGTAATTGTATATATAAAATTTTAATTTTCAGGTACTCTTATTTCATATTCAAATACTTCATAATATAAGGGAACTGTCATAAAAATTACATTTAGTATCATATATCAGTTTACAAATAGCAGTATAGTTACAAATAAGAAATAGGAACACAAGAAAATCTTTCTATTAAAGAATGATTAGGTTTTCCTATTATTTTCTAGACAAAAAATGTTTATTTTTAAAAATATCACAAAATATTAAAGCCTTGAAGGAAAATTTAAATGGACTACAGTGAAGAACTGTATTTTACAGGAACAATTACAAGGCAAGCAGGTAGTCTCCTTTTCTTTCCTGCTACAATGAAGTACAAAAATATACTTATTTTCCTGGGGGGGAAGGCACCATAAAACTCATGTCAGATTGTTTTTGTCAGGGGCACCATCAACATTAAGACAGATGTGTGATTCTGAGTAAGCATACATGGAACGCTCTGCTCACATGACTAGAGAATGCTCTACCAAGAAAACTGAGATGAAGTTTTACTTCATTTATTATAGGTAGATTCACTGACACATGATTTCCTCTTCAACTCTTCATCCCTAGGCCATCAAGGACAATAGTCAAGTTTCAGAAGTTTGTAGAAGTCACCAGAAAAATAGCAAATTCCAGATAAAAGGCAAAAGTTGATAGTGGCCATAACATTATCACTCTACCAGAGGCCAAGTTAAGACCCTGTACACCAATGGAGAAATTATTCTATCTAAAACACAAAGCCACACATCACTTTCTGGTAATGTTATATGCTTTGATCTGTGCTTCTGCAGTTAATTCCTCTAAGCACCTGTATTAGTGCTATATGCCTAATCTTCCTCTACTTCAACTTGTAGATTGGATGAATTCAGCTCCTGTTATTTTACTAATGACTCTGTGCTTATGATTGGACCTCTGGACTGTAATAGACTCATGCAGTCTGGTGAACAAGGTACCAAATTTATTTCTCCCTTACTACTTGAATCACTTTATATTTGCTGAGAATATCATAACATTTGTGTTCTTATTAAAGGGCAAATATAGTCTTATGTTTTACAAGATACCAGAACTACTAATCATATGGTTCCATTTTCAAGCTATTCTTTATATCTTTCTGATCATTATAATAATACAACCACTAGTACTGGACATAGTTGGGGCCCCTGTTCTTTTGGTCAGGGTTAGGGTTAGGGTTATTATACACAATGCTTTCTTTGTCCTAGTAGTATTCACTATGTTTATAATTTTCCTTCTTCTGGGATACTTAAGCACAAGTGCCAATTAGATTCATCTACAATATCTCAAATCAAAACTACTCTGCATTTAAAAATAAAAAGAGGAAGATGATGGAACACAGCCCAAGAATTGAGTCCTGTGAGGAGAAGTCCAAGTGCTTGTGAGAAAAATCCAAGTAAACAATCGGCTCTTGTGACATTAGTTTCTTCAAAACTATGAAATTGTCCTTGGCTTATTCTTTTATGCCACTCCAAAGTTTAGTGGATAAAAACAGTTTAACTTTAGATTATTCATTGCAACTGTCTGTTGTTATTTGTCTATATGGCTCTATGGGACAATAACAACATCCCTTCACTGCATGCTGCTGGTCTGCCACATGCAGCATACACTTGTGATTGTAAACTTCACTCATATGACTCCTATTAGCCCTAAGAGCACAAATTGTCTGATGAACTGTATAAAGGTAACTATTGCATGACACTTTAGTCCGCCTCATTTACTTGTTCCATTCTTGGAAATCTTGAGTTGTAAAAAAGACAGGACACCGAATTTTTATCTGGCATGATTTCTTCCTAAAAGAAAAGTCTTCAAACCCATGGAAAATATATATTTATATGCATATTAAAATACCAATAATGTTTAAGTATGATTGGAAAGAATATGACCAATCAGAATACACTGAGATGGGTAACTCATAAAATCTTTTTTTCTCATTCTCCTTGGCCCCTCTCTCAACAAGTCTTTCACATAGATTTAATTTAACACCACTATGAGTAAAGACCTCAGTACATAGTTCAGTAAACAGAGATCTGAGAATTTATTTATGACTGCATCTCAAACAGAAAACTGGAGGAGCATCAGAGTAGCCTTCATACTTTAGAGGCACTTCTCTCTCATTCATTTCAAAGTAGTTTAGAGTATCATTTCTCAACTCTCCAAAGTGTTGTAGTAAAGGTTACACACAAAAATACTGATAATACTGGAATAAAAGCTATCTAAAATATTATGAAACCACACTTGACACTATCAAGAGAATTTTCATATAATAATTTATTCTGTCCATCAAACAAAATACAGAACTCCTCCCAAGAAGAAAATGTATTTCAAGATCATTATGGCATGCAATTCACAAATCCTAGCATTCAGTGAAATGTGCAATAAACATCAAATTTCCATTTACAGTCAAAGACAATGATCACTCATTTAAACAGAAATTTCATATAACATAACATGCTTAGAGTTTAAAGTTAGTAGACAAGGGCATTTTCAGTGTTGTCAGGACAGTAAAAAAACGAATGTGCACCATAATAGTATATAATCTACAAAGATAAATCAAGCGGAAATTAAGGTGTACAAGATTTTAATAGCAAAAAATTAAAAGTTTGTATGATGGGAGAGATTGTAAGTTTAAAAAAACTGTAGGAAAGGAAAGTTCACTACTATAAAGTAGAAACTTCCAAGATAAAGAGTGTAGAGAAAAAAAGTTGAAGAAGCAACTAAGAAGAGTTGTTTCCTTTCTGCCACTGCTTATTGGCCTCTCAATTCTAACAGATACTAAAGCTCATTAATCATAAACCACCTTATGAAAAATGATGTAATGATTGCATATGAGTTGCATATGCCTCCTTAAAGCTTAGCCACTTCTACACAACTTATATAACACCAAATACAATATAAATAACAATAAATACTTGCCTTACCATCTTGCTTATAATTTTATGCTAAAGATTTTAGATGTACTCGGAGTAGATCATCTTTGCGTGAATATATTCAATCTAATATTGACTGGATTTGTACATTCAGAATGTGAGTATATGGGAGTACTGGCAATATTATTCAACTTGGGTGATAATAATGAAACATAAGTTTAGTCAGAATAATAGTGGTAAAATAATCTGTAGGAAAATATTTTAGAAATATCTCAAGTGTTATAATAACATATGTTGTGACTATATTGAGTTTTTAGCATTTCCATGTCAGAATGGTTACCATAAAGAAACAAACAAC